AGGATCATTAAGAGGTGATGTGTACTCCTGAATACTTCCTATTGCGGATATCTGATGGAATTTTGAACGAAATCCACTTTAATATTGCAGATAATAATAATAGATTTAACGCTTGCTGCAAGTTCAGTGTCGTTGCACAATAATTACAGCTTTTCAGATCTAAATTGTGTGCTCAAGAAGTTACGATAGAAAGCATCTTAACTTTCAAGTGAAGACACGAATAGAATTGCGCATTACATTAAATTCGCAGCACTAAATGTTTCAAAAGTATTATAGTGATTGCATATTGTGGAGGTTGACACTTCTTAGTCTTAGCCTGCTTCACTTTTTGCCAACTGCCTTCTTTTAGCCTGCTTTTTTGTCACTGCAGGGCTGTGTAGGATGCATGTGTGTTGACCTGCACTGCAGGGCTGTGTAGGATGCGTGTGTGTGTGACCTGCACTGCAGGGCTGTGTAGGATGCATGTGTGACCTGCACTGCAGGGCTGTGTAGGATGCATGTGTGACCTGCACTGCAGGGCTGTGTAGGATGCATGTGTGACCTTCCTTAACTCAATTCCTCTTCCCCCTTCGCTCTCCAATCTATTTTTTTATCTTATATATAACCTCCTTAATTCTCCTCAATTACCTATAGCGGCTCTCACGTCTTAAATTTGTTGACTTCCTTCAATGTTATTATTCATCGTGGAACACTCATTCCAACAGTCAGAAAAACGAGTGTAATATTGTCCAAATAGCGATGCATTTTCTTCGTCGTGTGGTTCGATTCAGTTTAGCCCGGCAAAGGAGCGTGTCATGGCTTCGTATCACCATTTGGTTAGGATGACCCCTGTATTTTTACGAGTGCAGCAGATCAATACGTCTACACGCACACACAGCTTACCAGGTGAGAGCGACGTTTCCATGCATCAACTTTCCTGCCGTTCACTCAGAAGAATAACTGTGTCATATTCTCAAAACAGTGATACAGTTTCTTACCTCCGGCACGTGCAGAGAGCGGACGTGGCACCGATACGTCCTGCTGCCAGGCCAAACTGTGTCAGGATGACCCACACGATCTGTATAAGTGCATCGCTACTTCGACATTTAATTGTAATAAAAATTGAAATGATTAGGTTCTGCGTCAGCTGTGTAAACCTTGACAATCCTTACTATATGCTCTATCATTTTTTCGTAAAGTTGGAGACTCCTGATATTATAAACATAAACACTAGTTAAATTCAAGGATACCAGCATTACCTGTTTGAAATATTACGTGAATTTGAAGGATGTTCTTTAAACATGAACGCATTAAAAATCTAAGTCTTGGCACAGAGCGCTGCGTGGGCGTATTAAAGATAACCCTTTTACTTAACTCCTACTGTCACTCAGAAAAATGAATGGGACATATTATTCAAATAGTGAAGCACGCCTTCTGCTTGTGCCGTGGCCGTGGCCTAGGAAGTGCTAGACGCGACACCGGGACCTGTAACACTGATACGCACATTCGCCGGACCAATCTGGATCAGAATGACCCGTTCAATGGCACAAAATTTATCATTATGCTATGTGTACAAAGTCTCACTTATTTATCTGAGTGTACGCACTACCGTCTTGCGCCACATGTACGTAAGTGAATATTTAACAAGCTTAGAGTGCTAACTTGCCATTACAAGTTAGAGTTGCTTCTGCCATGGCCTACTTACGTAAATTCAACGTTATTTTAAATTGTTTACGCGATGCAAGAATTTTCCATGTATTTATAGAGCAGTGGCGATTTTATTATATTTATTCATGCGTATAAAAGCGAACTTTTGTGCTGTAAACTCAACACCCAGACCATTGGGTTAATTGAAATGCTTCTATCATTTAGTTGACTTTGGAGTAGATATTATTCATTAGTTGTACTTATTTATTTCGCATCAAAAATTAAGTACCAGTGTACCTCACAGTTAACGACGTAATAAATAAATATTTCTATTCAGCAGTAGTACTTTTCACTCCGTTTAAAGATCATGTTGTATGCTTATAGCATATATTTTAATTCGCATGAAACATTTTTCAGTATTCTTATCTATTCATTTTATCTATTGCATTAATCACAATTGCGTGGTTCCTACTTGTATTGCTACGTGTAATTTTAGATTTAGATGATATCAGAGAAAGTGAATTCTTCTGTCGTTATGGATTCCAGATAGCTCGGAGTAATTTATTTTTGTTGATGGATTAAATTTCCTCAACCATTACTGCAAATAAATCTGGAATTTATTTGCACTGATAAAACCGAGTTTTTGTGACTCGGTTTCCCCGCTAAAAGTCGGGTTAGGATCGCGGTTCATGAAATCTGTTATCAACTTTCCCTTTTTTTAGCGAGTGTTAGTTGTAAAATTAGACACTTAGAACTTAACGAGATTCGGTGAAGATGCATCAAGAATATTCGTCACCAAGCTCGGTTGATTAATTTTAAGTGTCCGCAAATTACCTGTAGAAAACAAACTTAATTTCCTTCCATCACGACAACACGACAAAGAGAGCACATATTTCTCTCGATCGAACGTGCCCTATTAGTAAGCCGGTTATTTTATTCATGCTGATAAGTTAATTTATCCTTCGTTTGATTTAATTTCTTGGCAAGTTTCCTCTTGTTTTCAAAATATAACTGCTTTGCTTCAATCGTTACGTGTTGGGCTATGAAACAATGCAGTTCACGGTACGTACATTAAGAAAAATGAGGAAACGTTATCGAAATGTTGAAGCATTTTTGCTAGCTCCTGAGTCATCCTGTCTAATTTTATGCCTGCATAAGGCATAATATATCTCCTTATATAGCCCGTCGCCAGTCTCCCACGCGCGGCCACATGCGGGACCCTAACATTTACTTGTGGCATTGACCTTGTCCTCCGCACTTAGCGTATTTGGACTTGATGCATTGACATCGCTCGGTTAGTATATGCATGTCGCCAAACGCCTCCGCTTTCGCTGCACAATATATTTACCTTCAACGCGGGCCTTGGGCGTGGTTCCTTGTAGCTTTCCAGTTCATCGAGTGCATTCTGTATGGATATCAAGAGTGCACTCAGGAAAATTAGTGGGTCATGTTGTTCAAACAGTGACGCACTCACTGCAAGTAGCACTGATATGCCCTTTAACTGGCCGAAACTGGGCCACGATGATCCGCACAATGACGAAAGTTAATCGCTATTAGGACAAAGTTTCTTAATTTGCTGAGTGACTCAGACACTCAGTGACACTCAGAGAAATGAGTGAAATTTGTCCAAATAACGATGCACTATTGGCAGTTGTGTGGGTCCTGATTCTGATGCCGTTTGGCCGGGCAAAAAGATTTTCTCTGATCAAACCTGGAACGGATTATCTGATAATAAATATATTTTTTTCTGAAGTTATTTCGAAATTGTCGAAACTCTTGGAGGCAGCTGTCAGGTATTTACATAATTTTGTCAGGTTGATACAAACTGGCCCAACACGCGATGGCTATGGCCCGAGTGAAAGTCTTTCAACTATAAAAAATAACAATCGTATGGAAATACATCGTTTTCATTTTTTTTCTGTATATGCAAAAACATTGCTCTAGATGGTACGCTACGCCACTGGCCGTCGGCGCACGACTTTGACCTTTACTGTGCGTAATTTGTGTTCACTCTGACAAATTAATGATTTAGTCCAAATTCCGATGCACTTGCAAACTTGTGTGCTTTATTTTGACCCAGTTCGGTTCACAAGAAGGACGTATCAGTTTTACACCTATCAAATGTGTCATTATTTGGGAACGACGTATCAGTGCTACACCTAGCCAGTACGTCTCTATTTGGACTATATAACCCATCAATTATTCTTAGTGTTCCTTCCTCGTATTTACGCAGAACATGAATGCATTTTGCCGTTCATGCATGGCCTTCCGCATTCACACTCAGAAAAACTGAGAACTGTTTAAATAGCGATGCACTTAGTGCCCTTGTGTGGGCCATCCAGATCAAGTTTTGTCCGGTGAAAAAACATCAGGCCTACGCGCAGAAAGTCTGTCACGCTTTGGACAAGATTGCCCATTCATTTCACTGAGTGTTCTTTGTTTGCAACCTTCATCCACGGGAATGCATTTGTACAACTCTTAGTTATGTTATAAGTATAGTCTAGTAGAGTTCATTTACTGTTCTGTTCATTTACTGTATTGCTTCGCTGAAATTCCTACTATCCTCGAGATGTTATGTTTTATTAGTGGCCAAAACTTAAGCCTGGCGTCACATGACATATTTGTTAAGAGTTTCACTTGATTGTTCCCACAACTGATGGAGTTCTGGAAAATTGTGTCTTGTGCACAACATACTGTGTTCGTGAAAATTTAGCTAATTCGTCTGAACCTAAGATTTGCTTCAATATTCTTTGAGAAATTATTTTGTTCGCGCAGACAGGAATCCTTATACTCTTGTCAATTTCACTGTGTCCAGGATTGCTTGTTTTGATTTTGTACTATTTTTACTTGTAGTTGAGTATATTTTGAAGTGCTACAATATTTTCAGTTTGTCGTATTTTAAAAGTTGAGTATTTTCATCTTTTATTTATAGTGTCAACGGAACAAATTAAAATAATCAAATTTCAGTGGATTTCACAGGAATTGTTTGAGGTAAAAACTCCAAGAGTGAAATAGTGCCATGTTCTTCTTGGATGCCTCCTTTTTATCACTTATTTTATGATGAGAGCTTTGTGAATGAAAGGCCTAATTAGGCTGTTTGTTTTTCTATTTTAATATGTTTTCCGTGAATGGCTTATTTCGAGCAGAAAATTTTCAGAGATGCGTACAGGATTATACTCATTGCTTAATTTGTTATTGTGTTCATTGAGTTTTGCGAAAGACAGACTTAATTCGGCTGTTTTTTCACGAGTGTTTTAAATGGAAGGCTTACTTAGGATTATTATTTTTGAGTTTTATGAATGAAAGGTTTAGTTATATTTTTTTTGTTGAGTTTTATGAATTAAAGGTTAACCAGGACGTTTTTTCTTGATCAGAGCGACCACGAGCCCGGGAGCGGAGGGGGCGGCAACAGCGGCAGCAGCAGAATGTCGTCGGCCAGAGGGCGGCCTGAGGAGATAGGCAAATATCGACTCCTCAAAACCATCGGCAAGGGAAACTTCGCTAAAGTCAAGCTTGCCAAACACATTCCCACCGGCAAAGAGGTCAGTTTATTCTTACTTTTGCTATTTTTATTATTATTATTATTATTCGTATTTGTTTTTATATTATATTTAGGAATGTTTCGATGTGTTCGATGGGCCGACACACGGTTCATTTCTCTGTCGAACGTTATTATGAAAATAGACGTTTTTGTGTTACAGGATTTCGGGAACGAAATAAAACAATTTTTCCGGGAGTGAATCGTCTTCAAAATGCAGAACCACATTATCGTTTAAATTACTATTTGGATATATTTCTTCTTTTATTTTTTACTATATAAACCTTGCTAACCTGTTAAGGTTCGGGAAAAGACAGCAAAATAATATGCGTTTAAAAATTAATTTTTAAAGACAACACTTCCAAAGAATCCAGTGTCTCCAATCTTACAAATGTACAATGAATTTCTCATTTAATTTTCAAATTAAAAAATTAGTTTTTCAATTTTTTTTAATATATAAATTTTTAATATATAATTTTTTTCAAAATTATTTATTCTATTAATTGATTCCTGCATTGCCTCTGACTCCACACAAGTGTGCAAAATTTCAGATCAATCAGACGGATAAAAGTGTGTCAGATATCAGTTATAAGATTTGGAGTTGACAAAATTATTTTTTCAATTTTTTTAATATTGAAAAAAAAATTTTTTTTAATTTTTAAAATCTTTTATTTTGACATTTGATTCATGCATTGTCTCCAACTTTACACAAGTGTACAAAATTTCAGATCGATAGGATAAGTAGAAGTGTATTAAATTTAGATTACAAGATTTGTAGCAGACAGACAGACAAACAGACAGACAAACAAGAAGTGAAGTTAAAGAGAAGTGTTGTAAAATAACCAAAAACGGAACTGAACGATTTTTATAACAATCAGTCGATGTAATATAGCTAAAAGAAACGGAACCCGAACTTAACAAACTGCCGAGATTATTAACGATTTTCGAATTTTATTTCTTTTGCAAAACACGGTTTATATGTGAACTCACGCTCAACGCTGCTTCACATGCGTGCACTCGGAAAAATAAATGGATTCGAAGTAGTGACACTTATTTGCACAAAGCATTGATACGCCCTTTTGATGGGTAAAATTGGATCTAGATGACTCAGCCCGCGGCAAGAACTGAATCGCTATTTGGACAAGGTCTCACCCATTCCTCATGCTTGGGTAAAGTGAGGTTGAGGCGACTTACTTCAAGCCAGAAAAGCATGATAGGACAGTTACAAGCACACTGCTTTGGTAGCCTGCGTAGCACAGTGGCAGCGGCACTTAGACGAGAGGATCTATCCGTGGGTTGGAGCTTCCAGTAGCGCGATTCATTTGATCGGTGTAGCTGGTAGGCAGCAGTTGATAGTCGTCAAAGGTGGTGCTCTCAGCATAGATTTGGGTTGGTGATCCTAAATAAACTCTGGTTCCGTGTTACTCGGGGTATCTTATACGGTGCTAACGCAGCAACGGCCGCGTATCGTGAATATTTACCAGTTTTTAACTCCGGCCGCTGATCACTGGCGGCTTTTGAAGTTAAACTCATTGATCGTCGATTTCTTTTTCTTTACATGAAAACAACTTTTCTTCCATTCTTTATTTTCTCTATTCATTTCTAATTAGTATTTCACTCTCGTGATGTCGTCGTTTTTAGCGCGTGTATGTTAATTGGTCGCTTTCTTTTACCGGTGAAAATTAGTTTTTCGTACTAATCGACTCTACCTGCACACTCAGTTTAGTATAGGAGTTCAGTAGCATTTGTTAGAAATACCGTAACAAATTTTGATTCTTTGTCTGCTTCTTGCTTCTCATTAACTAGAAATATCATGACATATCAAATTCTGGGCCGGATGACGTTATCAGTATATCAGTATCTGAATGTTTACGATATGTGGCCGGCGCAGACTCGGCCGTAACTTATCAGAAGCTGATACGACTCTGCACTCAGAGAAATGAGCGAGACTCTGTCCAAATAGCGACGTCTTTTTCCTCTCTGGGAATTATGCAGTTCCAGTTTGTCCCCGGGAAGGGCGTGTCTTTGCTACGTACGCTCTGCTTGCGCTGTGGGTATAGGAAAGTGCAAGATCAATCACTATTTGGACAATATGCGCCATTCGTTTTTCTGAGTGTAGGGTGTTACCTGTCCTGCGTGGCCACTCCCTTCGCCGCGCCGTAGCCGCCCCCGGAATTTCCGTAGATATTCTCTGGATTTCTGTGGATATTCTCTGCAGTGTGTAGTGTGTACTTCGTCATGAAACATTCATGAGCCAGTGTCGCTTCCGTAGCTATCTCAGGCAGCCTTCTCTAGGGGAAACTCGTTCATGTAGCTTGTTTATGTCGCGCTTTTGATGGTCGCCGTGCTCGGAAATTTGTCCCGGTGCTTCGTCTTTTTTTTTTCTTTTCGTGTTGCTCTTCTTTTCTTCCTTCTTCGTCTTATTCTCCTATTGCTCTCTTTCTCTTTTGCTCTCTCTCTGTACTTATTGCTTGCTCTGCCATGTCTATGTTCGAGCTTTGATGTAGAACTATATTGAGCCCGTGACAGGGTACATCGTAATTCTGATAGCTTATTAATTAACCTCGCACTAGTTTTCATTTAACATTAAAAACAATCGATTTGGCTGTTTTAACAGCTACCTCTGGAACTAGAGCAGTTCAATATCGTTTCTACTTGCATCTTACATCGCGTTCATAACAAATATAACGTAACGCGTGGTGCATTATGGGTTTCGTGGCACCGTGTGTCAACAAAGAGCGGAAAAGTCGAAGTTTTAGTCGGGCATGTTTTTCGTGTTGTGCACTGCAGTGATATTCCAAGCCTAATTTCAGTATTTTCATTATGTAAGCCAATTGATAATAGCCAAGATTATCTTCATTATGGAAGCCAAGATGTGGAATAATGCAGAGAATGTTGAAGTAATTGAACAACATTAAGGGTGAAATAAAGCAACAAATTAGAAAAGGAACAATCGATCGCAAAGGCAAATGCTGGTGAAGAGCGGAGATTTGATGAATTTACTGCATAATAGAAGTGCCTGTCACGCTGTGTTTCCAACGTTTTTGTTACTTTAAAAAATTAATTTTTTACATGAAATTAAATTTTACCTTTGAGTGGGTCGTCCTAATTAACCCTATATAGGCCCGGCAAAAGGACGTATCAATGCTTTGTCCGTTCTCTCATTGTGTTGTGGGTAAGAAATAGTTACTATTAGGACGATATGATCCATTCATTGTCCTGAGTGTGGATCACGTTCCAGTGATCCCACCCATGTTGTCTGACTGCCATAATTAGCAACCTATCAAATCTCCGTTGATCACTTCCATGTGCCTTTGCGATCAGTTGTTCGTTTCCTTTCTTATTTTATTTCTTTCTTTATTCTATTTTTTCTTCATTTTATTCTTCCTATAACTTTTTTCTCGTTTCATTTCGTTCATTTCTTCATTGAAGTCGTCAAATTTATTTTTTACATTCTCTACTGCATTTCAGCCCTTGACTTACTTGATGGAAATACTTCATCCTACATATTTACATGTTTATTATTTCATCTTATTTGTTTTAAGCATCTTTTACTTATTTAGCGTGTTTATGCCAATTTTTTTTCTCCTTTCCACGACTTGCAATTTACTTGGTTCATTTTAAATCTCCCTTTCAGCTTGTTCATAAGAAAATATATCGGATTTTACGTATATTTCAAATTCGGCTCTCTCATTAATGTCATCTCCCTGGCTAACACACAACGTTTAAAGGCAGCAAGTCGACAGACAAGATGCTCGTGTCAAGCACATCATCGTATTTGTCTTACCATGCGCATATCACCACAGATGATCAATAGAAGTATTGCACACAGTATTGCTGTTCCGATACTCATCATTCAGTATCGATGCGCGTTATCGGCGTACACTCAGAAAATGAGCGGGTCATTATCAAAGTAGCGATGCACTTTTTTCTCTCATGTGGATCATTGACCCATAAAAAAAAGCGCGTATAAGCGCTACGTTGATAAATTGCGTTACTATTATGACAATATGACTCGATAATTTTTATGGGTATAGTTATTCGCTAGGTCTTATTTTGTCATCGGCGAGACTAAATCTGATGTCGCTCGCTTTATGATTCTATAAAACTGCGTGTGCTGGGCATCAGCTAGTGATACCTCTCCATGCAGGGCATCAGTGAGCGTATCAGTGATACCTCTCCATGCAGGGCATCAGTGAGCGTATCAGTGATACCCTCACATGCAGGGCATCAGTGAGAGTAATAGTGAAGCCCCCACATGCAATAACAGGAAGCACTAATAATTGAACGAGTCACATTATCTAAATAGAGACGCTTTTTCTTATACACAGCACAAACAGAGAGCGACAAGATACACTTGGTTAGAACATGCATCACTATTTAGACAAAGTCCCAGTCATTTCTATGAGTGAGCTTATCAATAATATTGAGTGCTCCCTGGGGTTGACGACTGATATGAAGGTGCACTTACAGAAATGAGGAGGCGTATTTGTCCGAATAATGATGCACGTATCGCCGTTGTGAGGGTCATCCTGATTTGATAGGGCTCAGCAAAAGGGTATATTACGTACGCTCTTCGCTATGGTGAGTGAGATAGTGTCACTATTTGGACAGTATGCCCCAAAAATTTTTGTTCGTGTGAAGCATGAAATGTGCAGAATTATAACGTGCAGCACGGCACGTAGCGCTGCTCGTGCTCTGCGTACAGAATGCGCTCAAGCGCTTCTCTCTCCTACACGACGTTTAGGCATCAAAAATGGCTACCCACCATGCATCTGACATTGATTAAGCGTTTAAACGTTGAATTTACGTCGATTACAAGTTTTTTTTAATGTTATGTGTCCCACGTTTTCAAAAAGGCATCTGACGTTGAACCAACGTTGATTGAACGTTATTTCAACGTTCTTTGTTGGACGTTTTTCAGCAAGGTATCTGACGTGGAATGATCGTAGGTTAAGCATTCAAACGATTTATTTACGTCGATTAAACGTTTATTCTACACTTTTTGCCTGTATTGTAGAAATTCACGTTATGTGCTATACCACATTTTCAATAATGAGGCTGGAGATCTACAGAAGTCAAACAGTATACGAAATTGATACTGCTTCAATTTGCCTGCGAAAAAAAATTTTTTATTTTTTCCCACTTGCTCCAATGGATCATTAAAGCTTGACGTCTATGGATTTTTGATGTTTGTTTTGCCTTTTTAAATTTAATAGCTCTTTTCATCTGTAATATGTAAGCTAGGATACGTTGATTATGATCGCACGTAAAAACTTAAGTAACTACTTTTGGAAAAACGCGCTTTGATAGTGCGCGACCTTAACTTTACCTTTCGCACGTGCTCTTCCCGGCTGTGATACATCATAGTGTGATGCATCATCCATCACTCATGCATCATCGCAGCTATAGCATTGAAGAAATTCCTACAGTGTGTCATGCTATCGCTCTAGAACTGAGACTGCTTACATCAAGACCTCCAAGTGTCTCTTGTGGCCCGATTTGTCACTTACGTCTTCAGTAAATTCTAAAAAATATTTTTAATGCACTTTTTTATACATGACTTTTCTTACAAAATAGCCAGTTTGTTTTGAACATCCTACAAAATTCCCCTTATTCTTCTACAATCTTCGATGTAAATCTATACAATTGTAGGGTTATGATTGCTAATTAATAAGTAGTTAATATTGAAAGCACGCTTTGATCTGTCGTTAAGTGACTCAATTGGAAGTTTCTGCAGCTGCTGCCGGGACTCCCAAGCTTTCTTGTATATTTTGTGGTAATGCGTTCTGGAAAATACAGAGGCTAAATAGTAATGCACTTTTTCTCCTTATGCAAGTTATCCTGACCCATTTTAGCTCGGAAAAATAAAGTATTTGTGCTTTTGAAAAAAGCGCAGGAAGTGTCATTATTTAGACAGTATAACTCGTTCATTTTTCTGAGTGTGTGCCCGACACAACAAGTGTTTGCAGCGCTATTTTCTCGTCATGGGTAGAGAATCATGAGAAGCGCTCGCTCTATTGTGACGACCAGCATTCAATTCTTGACAGCTTTCCCCCGCTTTACCAACTCGCCACTCGGAAAAAAATGAATGTGTCATTTTGTTATAATATTTATATTCTTTTCTGCACGAATAAACGTGGCATTGAAACGCATTTTTGCCGAGCCTAACTGGTTCAGGATGACGCATAAAAAGACTAAATTTATCCCTAAAATGCCTTAAAACTCTTGAAAAAAGCCTTTATCTTAAACTATTACCGTGTCCGTATTATTTGTAATATGCACACTGGTCTTTAACGGTCCGTGTCATCTGTAATAAGCACACTGGTCTTTGACGGTCCGTGTCATCTATAATAGGCACACGGTCTTTGACGGTCCGTGTCATCTGTAATAGGCACACGGTCTTTGACGGTCCGTGTCATCTATAATAGGCACACGGTCTTTGACGGTCCGTGTCATCTATAATAGGCACACGGTCTTTGACGGTCCGTGTCATCTGTAATAAGCACACACGGTCTTTGACAGTCAGTGTCGAGCTGTTCCTTTGTCCCGGCAAGTTGTCCTGAATGTCGTCAGTCTGCTTATCTCACGTCGGCCGCTATTGTTTAGCGGGAATATTTGTTTTATTCATGCTTCTTAGCCGTAGTTTCTTGCTCACAATGGAGTGTACCAATTTTTGTTTATTAATCTTGGTTTTCTCATCATTCTTTTTATTCAGCGTTTCCTTTAACCTGAAAATAAGGTAAAAACAAAATTCCTTTTATAAATTTTTTCGTCAATTTATCTGCAATTTCATTTTCTTAACTGGCATTCATCGAAGCGAGGCCGATATAAAGTGTATCGTCTTCTTATGTTGTTAGCGATTGACTTCGCAACGACATTAACCATGTTGTAGATGCAATCAATTTATAAACTCCTGTGTCTCCTTATAAACTCCTCGTCATGAGTGTCATGCGACTTTCGTGAGTGCCATTCGACTTTCGTGAGTGTCACCATGCTGCGCCAATGCCCTGCGTTATGAATGTCATGCGACGGCCGTGAGTGTCATGCGACGTCTGTGTTAGTGCCATGCCTCGTCATTGAGTGCCACCACTCCTCCACATGACACCACCACGTGGCCGCGAGTGTCACACGGCATGCGAGTTATCGCGATTATCTGGCGGCACTCGTGGAGGGCTCTTCCGCCTGCGCGTGACTCATCTCTAATCTCATACATTGTTATCTCACATCTTCTTGCGTCTATAATCACGAGATCTTCGTGAGCGCCTGCCGGATTTATTCCGCTGAACTGGAAATAACATGATCTCGGTTAAATATTATGTTTTCAACAAAATAACATGTTCTCAGTCATATAACATGAACATGTTTAGCATTTGATCAAGAACATAAGGTTTGACTGAGAGCACTCTCAGTCAAACCTTATGTTATTGATCAAATATCATGTTCATGATCAAATATCTTGTTCTTGATCAACTGTTATGTTCACAATAAAAAATGTTCTCAAATAAATGTCTATATTTTCAATCAAGTTTCATGTTCTCGCTTAAATATCCTGTTCACAATCAGATGTCATGTTCCAAATAAAATATTGTGTGCGTTTTCATACAAAGTTCATGTTGTCGATCGAATATCATGTTCAAGATCAAAAATGGTCTGATTCATTTCTCTTAAGAAGTGCTTTAATTTAATCACTTCATTTCTTTTAAGAGTAATAAATTAATTTCTGATGGCTATAGGAATCTCAATGTTTCATGTTGAAAAATATCTCGCCTCCAAAACCTCAATAATTTGAGTACATTAGCACTTTTCGCGAGTGCTCTCTGCGCGCAGCAACGATATGCCTTTCTTTCCGGGCAAAACTGTGTCAAGATAACCCACACTAGCACAGAAAGTGCATTTACGGTATATTTGGACAAAGTCTAGTCATATCTGTGAGTGTAGACAGTTAACAGTTAGCAGGATTACGTGCATCCTAATAGGGATAAGCTGGAGCTCTAGCACTTCTTAGTGCATCTTGTGGTGCCTCCCTGGATATAGAAGAATAGATAGCTCATTTTGTCCGATTTCTGACACTACTTTGTTGTGTGGACCTATGGTGTGTCCTTTTTCCGAGCTAAACCCTCTCCAAATGACTCATATAAGGGTAAAAGTGCATCAGGGGTGAAAGTTCATCGCTATTTAGATGAAGTCTTATTAATTTCACTGAGTGCTTTTTTATTTCCATTCGTGTTTCTAAGTCGATTTTCTTCTCTTGCAGGTGGCCATCAAAATTATAGACAAGACTCAGCTTAATCCTGGGAGTTTACAAAAGGTGAGTCTTTTTCTCTATTTTTATTTCAGTGAAAAATGAACTATTAAGGATATTAACATGTTATTGACATGTCTTTTTAAATTTTTTTCGATCTGTCAAGTTTCTGTGAAATATTGTACTTTTTCTTCCCATGGGAATGAATCGAGCAGCTCGTTAAAAAATATCTTTTCGTCGTTGGTTTTATGTCGTTTGATCGCCGCTGCATTTCATATTCAAATTTCAATTCGAGTGAAACGAAAGCCTATGATTTACATGTTCATGTCCTTAGCAGGTTATAATGCGCGCATCATGAGAGAACATTTTGTGTGTTATATTTTCCTATTTTTAATGTGCGCGTCAATATGGAAATTTTTTTGTGTCTCAGCTTCTCCGATTTTTAAATGCGCGTGTCATTAAATTAAGGTAACTTTTTTGTGTTTTAGCTTTTCCGACACTTAATGTGCGCTTCATTACGGAAATGTTTTTTTTCTTTTTTGTGTGTGTTTCAGCTTTTCCGATTTTTAATGCTCGCGTCATTAAGAAAATTTCTTGTGTTTCAGCTTCTCCGACTTTTAATGCGCGCGTCATTAAGAAAATTTCTTGTGTTTCAGCTTCTCCGACTTTTAATGCGCGCGTCATTAAGAAAATTTTTGTGTTTCAGCTTTTCCGCGAAGTGCGGATCATGAAGATGTTGGACCACCCGAATATCGTGAAGCTTTTCCAAGTGATCGAGACCGAGAAGACGCTCTACCTCGTCATGGAATACGCGAGTGGCGGTGAAGTGTTCGACTATCTCGTCTTCCATGGCCGCATGAAAGAGAAGGAGGCTAGGGCTAAGTTTAGACAGGTAATTTGTTTATTACCAGGGAAATGGCGTTGAAATTTAAGTTGAAACGGTGATTTGGTTGAAAAAACTACTAATCCTCGATTAACGATTGTCGTCTTCGAACGGGCGCATGGAGGAGAAGGAGGCTAGGGCTAAGTTTAGACAGGTAATTTGTTTATTGCCAGGGAAATGGCGTTGAAATTAAGTTGAAATGTTGATTAGGAGTTGATTTAGTTGGAAAAACGATAAATCGTCGACTGTACCGATTGTCTCACAATGGGCGCATGACGGAGAAGGAGGCTAGGGCGAAGTTTAGACAGGTAATTTGTTGATTACAAGGGAAATGGCGTTGAAATTTATGTTGAAACGTTGATTAGGAGTTGATTTTGTTGAAAAGCGTTAGGTACTCCAACGCGAGAGGACGAATAATTTCCTCCTTCCAGAAAAATTAAGTTCAAATAATGTACCTGTATAGTGAATTGATTTTAATGGGGCCATTAAACGTTAAGATTATTCAATAAACGTTAAGATGATTATTTTTTTGTATATAATGGGGGAGTGTGTGTGTCTTAATTAACCACATTGTTAAAAGTATCGATTATGTAAGACAGAGTTGAATGGCTATTTGTAAATTACGGCTTGGTGTTATCACAATATACTAACTTAATGTTATCTATTGTGCAGATCGTATCCTCGGTGCAGTATTGTCACCAAAAGAAGATCATTCATAGAGATTTGAAGGCTGAGAATTTACTCTTAGACTCTGAAATGGTCATCAAAATTGCTGACTTTGGCTTCAGTAACGAGTTTTCTCCCGGCAATAAACTGGACACTTTCTGTGGCAGTCCTCCTTACGCGGCTCCCGAGCTCTTCCAAGGTAATTTGCCGTTACTAGCCGCTACTTAATTGCAATCCGCTACTTGATTACATTCTGCTACTTGATTGCAACCCGCAACTTAATTACAATCCTCTACTTGATTACAATCGGCTACTTAACTACAATCCGCTACCTAATTCTGCAATAATGTTGTAGCAATTCGCTGATTCTGCTAAAATATTGTATTAAACCTCTCGTCACACTACATAATTTAATTACTTTTAATTGTACCTAGTAAAGTTTATTATTTGTTAATTTATCATTGTAGAGTGTAGTTTATTAATTGTTAATTTTGTACAGGTAAAAAATACGACGGCCCTGAAGTAGACGTGTGGTCGTTGGGCGTGATATTGTACACGCTCGTGTCGGGGTCTTTACCTTTTGACGGCTCGAACCTGAAGGAGTTGCGGGAGAGAGTCCTGCGTGGCAAGTATAGGATACCTTTCTACATGTCCACTGACTGTGAGAACCTCCTCAAGAAGTTCCTTGTGCTCAATCCTGCCAGGAGAGCTACTTTAGAGGTCAGTTGTTTGATAATTCTACGTTTTTCAACAGGATTATTAAGGATAATATCTTCCGTCGACAATAATTACTTCGATTAATCATTATTTTGTCATGGTCCATAAGTTTCTTGCACCCAATTCTCCTAAGAGTGACTTTAGAAGTCAGTTTTTTTATTGATTCAAAATTTTTTCAACGGGATTGCTACGGATAATATCTTTCATCGGCAATAATTAGAATAAGCATTGTTTGTCATGGTACATAAAATTGATAATCTTTGACAAAGTTTCTTGCATCCAATCCCGCCAGAAGAGCTACTTTACAGGCCAGGTTTTAAATAACTTCATATATTTTTCAGCTGCAAATAATGTACTAACAATAATATTATTGGACTACTAAGAAGTCCGTTGGAAGAGCATATGTTAAATCAATATTAATAATGCAGATTATTTTACTGAAGATAGTTATGAAAGACCGGTGAATATGTTAAAATAATATTATTAATTTTCCGATGATATTGATATTACCGTGCATCATTTGCACACACCATAATGAAGGACCGGTGCATATGTTGTAATAATAATATTAATACGTTTCTAATGATAATATTGATACTACTGGCACTATTTGCACACAGACCATAATGAAGGACCGGTGGATGAACATCGGTTACGAGGACGACGAGCTGAAGCCTCACATTGAGCCCGAGATGGACTTCGCTGAGCCCAAGAGATTCGAGATACTCATGGAGATGGGCTACTCTAGAGCAGATATTGAAGATAGCCTCAAGAATCACAAGTTTGATGACATCTACGCCACTTATCTACTCCTGGGACGGAGATCTACTGACGTGAGTCTATGGACATCTTGTATAAGTAGATATACTGACGTCAGTCCACGTAGATTTTGTATAAGGAGATACACCGAAATGAGCCTGCATAGCCTCGTTAAACTTTAGTTAGCCTCATTAATGTGCCTCGTTCAACACTCATTAACATAACATATCCCCACAGTTGGACAGCGAATCATCACGCTCTGGCTCGTCGTTATCATTACGCAACAACACCCCCCGTGTGGGGGGCGTGAGCAGCGGGGTGGGGGTGAGCAGTGGGGGTGACAGCGGACACCCCCCATCATCCCAGCTGTCGCAGTCCCCCTCACACCGCGGGGTGCACCGCTCTGTCTCCGCCACCAACGCTAAGCCCACCAGCAGGAGGCTGTCTGCCGGTAATTCTTTACTGGGCAATTCTTGTATAGTGGGTAATTGTTTACTGGGTAATTATTTAGTGGGTAATTCTTATATAGCGGGGTATTGTTTACTGTGTAATTATTTAGTGCGTAATTCTTATAGAGCTGGTAATTATTTACTGGATAATTATTTAGTATGTAATTCTAGATCGGGTAATTGTTTACTGGGTAATTCTAATAGAGTGGGTAATTGTTTACTGGGTAGTTCTAATATTGTGGGTGATTGTTTAGTGGGTAATTCTTTATAGTGGGTAATTGTTTACTGGGTAATTCTTTATGGCGGGTAATTGTTTACTGGGTAATTCTTATATAGCGGGTAATTCTCATATAGTGGGTAATTGTTTGCTGGGTACTTCTTTACTGGGTAATTCGTTATAGTGGGTAATTGTTTACTGGGTAATTCTTTTATAGCTGGTAATTGTTTACTGGGTAATTCTTTTATAGCTGGTAATTGTTTACTGGGTAATTCTTTTATAGCTGGTAATTGTTTACTGGGTAATTCTTGTATAGCAGGTAATTGTTTACTGGATAATTCTTATATAGCGGGTAATTATTTACTGGGTAATTCTTATATTGCAGGTAATTGTATTAAATTTTGCTATTCGGCAGCCAAACATCATTGCTCACTTCCTCTCTTAGCTGCCTGTTCCTTTCGCATGTTCCAGCTACATCATTTTAGCCTCATTTCATTTTTTCCTTTCCCCTTAGACATTTCATATTTTCTCAGGTTCTCCTTAAAATTTCTATGTCTTTACTGGCGGATACGTGCTCTTATTTCACTCTTCTTTTCATTTTTTATTCATTATTTTCATTTCCTTCTTCATTTATTTTCATTTCCCTCGTCATTTTTCACTTCCCTCTTCCTTTTTTATCTTCCTCTTAATTTTTTTAAATTTCTCTCCCCTTTTTTCCTTTCCCTTTTCGTTTTCTTTTTTGACATCTTCCTTCTTCTATTGTCATCTTCTTTTTTCATGTCTCCCTTCCATTGACCCGCTCGTAACTGACCGTATGGTTGCAGGTGGTGCCCCGACCACCACCACACCAGCGACCAACAACAGCCACAATCACAGCAGCAACAGCACGACCCCCGCCACCACCACGGCACCCAGCACCACCACGTCCACCACTAACAACACCACCACCACCGGCAACCATTTCCGACGCCAGAACACCGTCGACACCGCCACCATCAAAGAAAATACCGCTCGGTTGCAACAGCAGGGAACCACAACAACCTCGTCCCAGAGAGGTAGCGCTACCAACGCTACCGTAACTACCACTACTACCACGGGGGGCGGTGGTACCCCTGCAGGGGGGGCACAAGATGGCGGGGGGGCCCATAGCCCCGTGGGGAGCGTGGGGTCTAAAGGGGGTGAGTGGAGTGTAGGGGGAGGAGGAGAAGCTGCTTGCACTGTTCTATCTTTTTCTCGTTTGAGGTTCAAAAAGATTATTTTCCTTCGTGTTTTGTGGTCCAGGTTAATTTTTATGGAGTTGTTATTCTTTTTTCTCTCGTTCAGTCTTACTTGTTTTCTTTTTCTGAAGAATATCGTACAGTTCAAACTTTTTTTGTATTCTTCTAGTACGGTTGTCCAGTCTCTTATTATAATTTTCTAATATATCCTGAAGACTATTCCTAAAAACACCAGTTTTCCTTATCCAGTAATAACCTAGTAGTGGGTGTAGGTTCCGACCGTAAAATATTTACGAACATCTCTGAACTCTTGCTCGAATTCATTCGAATTTTGAGTCGCGTCTGTCTGGAAAATTTCTTGTCTTCATTGCTAATTTCTATCTCTTTTATCAAATCTTCATCTATGTTAGCCTCCCTTACCTACTCCTATCCTCCGCAACCTATGAACTAATCCTTCTCTCGGAGTCTTTTTTATATTTTTTATGTTCTTATTCCTCAACCACTCTTATTCTTACTCATTAGAGAATCGCAACTTCTCACTGATATTAATGTTTAATTTCATCGAAATTATTTCATACTTCATTTCCATGCCAAGTTTTCCTCCTCTGATGTTTTTGTCTCCGTTGTATTGGTGCCTTCTTTTTCTAGTTCATTATTCATTCTGACAAACGTTTTTTTGTCACCTAAGTTATCGTTCGCATTTTTAATTTTTTTCATCACTTAATACCATTCAGTGCCTCAGTAGATATCAGGATTAGGGATTCCTTTCTCATATTTTTTTCGATATCCTTTAAAAAATTAACTATTTTCAAAGTACCTATGAAAAATCGGCATAAATAAATTTATTTTTCAAAATGGATTTTTCTCCGTTGCCTTATTTTTCCTTAACTAGACTAACGTAAAAGTTTTCGTTCGAAGCAATTCATGTTTTCACTTATCACGTAGATATTACTGCCTGATTATCTCGGTTGTCTTTGTTCCTTTTCTAATACTACTTCCATCCTATTTATTTTATCCTATATTCCTCCACCCCTGCCCTCCCTCCCCACCCCCGCCCTCCCGACATCTTGTGCGTGTCAAAAATTTATAATTATACCATGATTATATAATTTCCGTACATAATTTTCTAATTGATGCATTTTGGCGCATAATTATTCAGTTCAGTATTTTATTTGTTATTATTTACAGGTAACCAGTAACGTTACAATGATCGATATTTACCAGTTAGCAGTAACGTTAAAATGATCAATGTTTACACATCAAATGTGGAAACAATCCAGTATTTCGTGTGGCTAATATCCAGTGCTCTTTGTATTATTCATTTAGTATGAGTGCAACAGAGTTATTTTCAAAATGAAAACATAATTCGTATTTCCATGAACAAAGCTTATGTATTAATATTGCAGCTATTTACCATCTTTTGTTGTTGGGGCTAGAAATTTTAACTGCAAGGTAAGTATTAATTATATTTACTAGATATTTTTTAATAGATATCTGATTTGTATATCAGTATTCCGTATTTAGATATAAATATAACATTACAGAATCATCAAGCTTCTCGCCATATTTTTTTTTCTTGTAATGTCTAACATGACATTATTGTGTGAATGAGTTAGATTATTTTGATTTTTTCCGATGAATATTGTCATTTGAAAACGGCGGAATATCGAGAAAATAACAACAAGAAGAAGAAATAAACAATTCTTCTCGATAGAAAAATTAAGGAGAACTTACCTCCATTTCAATCTTAGAGGTGTCAATTAATAATTTCTACTTGGATGCAGGTATTGCTGGTAATAAGACGAAAATTATTATATTAGAGCGTAACATATCCGGGAATTATCGTGACCTACACAAGACTAATTCGATGTCCCGACGTTTATTAAAAGTATTAAGGTATTATATACGTAAATTAGAGTTAAGAGATATTACGGCGTTACAGGCACAGTGAGCATTATTAGCGTATTATTAATTTATTGAAATTCTTGACGTATTATTTCTTTATTTAAATTATTAACGTATTAATTTATTAAAATTTATTCAATTAATTTATTTAAATAATACCTTATTAATTTATTGAAAATAGTAAGGTATTATTCATATAAATTCTAGTTAAGAGATATGGACGTTACAGGCGTGGTGAGTGGTGCTGTGAGCCCCGGCATGAGCAGCAAGACGCGCAGCAGCAGCGGCGCCACAATTACTTAAATTATTAAAATATATGTAAATAATTTACTTGAATTACTAAGGTATTATTCACGTAAATTAGAGTTAAGATATGACTGTGTTACAGGCGTGGTGAGCGGTGCTGTAAGCCCCGGCATGAGCAGCAAGACGCGCAGCAGCAGCGGCGCGACGACGCAACAAAAAAGCAACACCATCGCCAGCCGCACCATCAGCGCTGCTACTGGTCGTCGGTCTACTTATTCTCATGATCCTAAGTCTTCATCTACTGAGAAGACCAACGTCCCTGACTCTACCAGGTGGGCTAGCACTGAGAAGGGTCTATATTTTATATTAACAACCTTTTATAGTCAGTCGTACAATGTTTTGTTTACGTTACAATGTTTCGTCTACGTTGCAATGTTTGGTTCACATTACAATGTTTGGTTAACATTACAATGTTTTGTTTACATTACAATGTTTCGTTTACATTACAGTGTTTTGTTTACGTTGCAATGTTTGGTTAAAGTTACAATGTTTCGTTTACGTTGCAATGTTTACTTCACATTACAATATTTTGTTTACGTTACAATGTTTAGTTTACGTTACAATATTTTGTTTACATTACAATCTTTAGTTTAAATTATAACGTTTCCTTTACGTTACAATGTTTCGTTCCAATTTTTCTTTTCAAGGTGGAATAAATACATGGTTTTGGTATTTCTGTTTCCACCTTGAGATGTCAGTCGTTCTTAGTTTTGTTTTAAGAAGGGTCTAAATTGCTTTTATATCCGTAGTTTTGAAAAGAGTATGAATTACGTTTGTTACATTCTATGTTATTAGTCAAAGCTACTATTCGTCTACATACGGTTGCCAGATGTTGGGCTAGCAATAATAATGTATTTCCCAACATTTCTTCAAATGTGTTTGCTGCCACGCTCACATCAGATGTTTTTTCGTTGGTGACATGCCAGTCCACGAATGATGGTGATTGCCCTTCATTGCTAGTGATCTTATTTATTGTTATGTCACGCGGTCACTAGTTCTGTCATTGTTTAAGTAATAAGATTTATTCCGTAATTCAGCAATATTTTTCTTTTTAATTCATTGTGATTGGACGGAAAACTGAGAGTTCGTTTAATATACTCGATCAACCCTTTCGTTCGTTCTATTCTTTCTATTAGAGAAAATCTTTCTGTAAAATTACATAACCCTTTGAGAGGTTATTTTCTCTCAATCTTGCAAAGATTGAGCCAACGTGTAATTAGAGGTTCGAATTCTCTTTGTGACTTAATAATGGGTGACTTAATTTTATGCTATTTTAATTATATATTTGCTTCTTGTGGTGCTATTGTGATTTCCAGTGCAGTCGTGACACTAATTTGTTTTTGATGATCTCTCATTATAACTTTTATTAGTGATGTTCATTATATATTTATTGGAGCAATGTTACCAGCGCTAACCTGGCGCTGGTTTTATGCCTCTAGTCTCCTCTTATTGGCATTGTTTACAGTTGTATTATTGCCCTCTACATATTATTTTAATTTTGCTCATATTTATTCAGTCAGAAGAAGGGATGTATTTCCTTTCTTGTGACTGCAATGTAAGAAATGCAACAGGAATTGCAGTGGCAATTTCTATTACTTTGCTATTACATTAGCCAAGCTACAAGGATTTGCTTTACTGGCGTTTTATTTCATTTTACAATTGATGCTCATGAGAATTTTTTTACTGCTACCCACCAGACAAATGACGTTGAAACAACGTTTGATTGACGTTAATTTCGCGTTAAAACGTTCGATCAACGTTTATTTAACGGCACCCTGGTGGGTATCTACATAAGGGCTTGCACTATCTGTACATAAATCTATTTCAGTTCATAAATTGAGCCTTCTACATGGATGGAAATTTATAAAAGTAATTTTAAAATTTAAATAGACTTCCATGTTTCCAGTCGCAATCCAATCAAATATGAAGTCCTTGTAGCAACGCCCTGCCAGCTCCACTCCTAATATCTGTGATGCTCGTAATTAGATCATTTCATTGCTTCAATAACAAATTAATCAAGATTTATAAAAAAGGAAATGTCATACTTTGATGCTCCTGCTAACCTTTTGAAAGCAGCGCAACGCCAACCCCTGTCTGTTAATTATATATCATCCTTAATGTCAAACTCCCTTTTTGAGCCTTCCTTGCTACGTATTTTTCTTCCATATCCTCGTTTTCTTCGTACGAGGTTTCGTATTGTTTTTCCTTAGTCTTTATCGTCACTTCTGGTCGCGTGATCGATTTCTTTTTCACGTCATATTTAATTAGTTAATCTTTGTTGGTCATTCGGTCAGGTTCGGTGCGTATTGCTAACGTGTTGTGCGTTGTTTTGTTGATTCTTCGTCGGTAATGATGGAATATGGGAAGAATGATGTCATATCATTGGTGAAATGATGCTCTATTATCTCAAAAAATGGAGTATTGGATGGAAATTTGGCATAATTATCATTTGAAAATTGTTTTCGATCTCTAAGCATTGATGCTCCTCTTTCAATGGAAGTTGTCTACAAAGGGTATTTAATTTTGTTAGTTTCTAATTTGGTAAAACACCAACAATTTATGTCTTGAAATCGTTATTTCTCTCCTTTTTGTTTTTTGATTATAATGAAGGTTAGCGTTATTGCTGACCGTTCAATACAGAATTTTCGCTGGATTTCATTGCAGGAAATCTCCGGAAGTAGAAGCTATTGAATTGTCATAGACTCGTGTCCAATGTATCGTTGTTTGTATTATAAAGTATATATGAAACTTCGTGTGTGACTCTCAACAAGAATAACTTGACTTGAACATTGTCGTGCTTCCTTCGCGTCACATTTTATATCTCATTTTATTATATCATTTTATTTATTTGTATTTTAAATCGTTCATGATTGTTATCCACAATAATTTCTTTAATTTAAGGCAAAGAGGTCATTAATATTCTTCATTGGAGCTAATTTTTCTTTATGAATGACATTTCACATATTGGGATTGTCGTGGGGCGTAGTTCTTTCCCCGTGTAGTGTGGGGTGGCCGCTGTTCCCCGTGTAGTGTGGGGTGGTCGCTGTCCCCCCGTGTAGTGTGGGGTGGTCGCTGTCCCCCGTGTAGTGCTGTTCCCCGTGTTCCCCCCCCCCCTTCACCCCGCCCCCTACTCCCCTCTCTAACCCGGCGCCGGTATGCAGGGGGGCGGGGAGTGATGCCCCCGATCCTCTCCCTCACTCCAACATGATGCTCCTAGAGTGAGTATTGCTCTTTCTCACTCTCTTTAATTACTTCCTCTCTCTCTCTCTCTATCGCTTCTCTTCTCTCGCTCTCTTTTTATTTCGCTGTTTCGCACACTCGCTTAACTTATCCGCACTTGTCACTATCGCCGTACGCATGCGTGTCGTCTGATGTTTTAAACATGTTTGCTCGTTAAAATGATGTTGCTAAACTCATTAAACTGTAGTGAGCTTTAAAATAGTGAAGAGCCGACTAATTAACCTCTGAAATATATTCACGTTGTAATTTATCAAGGGAATGACGTAGATTCGACTTGCATTACGTTTTCGTGCGCTTAATACGATTATGCGTATAAACCCAATTTGTACCAAAGAAACTACGAATTATGCATGTCTTGTTAACCAAATCGAATCCGTTCTTTTTAATTATTGTATTAAATTTGATTAGATTTCGAAACGAACGCTCTGAAGGTTCAGCAGTGATGTTGACATTCCTTCTTGGGTACAAATTATTTCATGGCTAGAAAATAAAGGATATGTAGGCCATATTCTCAAAACGAACATATCAGAGTTGAACGAACCTAGTAGAGATTCGCTATCGTAATTAAAAATCCTTCGTAATCGTAATAATAATCATAATTAATCCTCCTAGTTTGTCGTCGAGTTTAACTTTAAGAGAAAAGAGGAGCTTTCACTTCGCATTTAGCATCCCAGAGTTTTGTTTGTTAAACAAGGCGAATATTCAACTTTAACGAACGAATAACTAACTTCAACGGCATTGTATATAACCATATAGACAACTTAGAAGAATAATTAACTTGAACAAATGATTAATGGCAGATACATTGTTCTAGTTAATAATAATGATTTCCTTCAGCGAATAATTAACTGGCATTATGAGTACCGCCCCATACACTTGTCACAAAATCAATTTGTGTTCCGTAGTCAATAAAAATTGAAAACCCGTGAAGATTCCACAAAAATTCACCATGTTTTATTTGTAGAACACGTTACGAAGTTATAAAAAAACCGTCATAGCGTCCGTTTGATTCATTATTGTGATACTGCTTGGCTTGAAGAAGTAAATCTTCTTACTTTAACTTTCTAAAGCTGGTTATAGTTTAGCTATATGAAACTATTTAGTTTAAAGAGATGACGCTTTTTGTGTCCCTGCTTTCACTGTCGTACCTCTACCGCCTCACTTATTTTACTTAGTTTCACTTTCGATGTTTATTTAGCCCTGCCATCGGCTTCTAATTCTTATGTATCCTATTCTACTCAATTATTTATCCCGCCATGCCTATCTCTTTCTTCTTTCTTATCTTCGTGTCGTTATTTCGGTTTGAACTTTCATCGTTTCATCTCTTATCTTGAAAGCTTACACAATGTTCGACCGGTTCTTATTATCTACCTATCTCGTCTCTAAATAACGTCTTTATTTCATTCCTTTTCATGTCCAATAATTTGTTCTCTCATTTCCCAGTTCGTTGTATTTACTCCCACTCAGAGAAATCAATGAGACGTTTGTCCAAATATCAATGCACTTGTCGCCGCTTGTATGTCCCTGACCCAGTTTGATCCTACCAAAGGGCATATTAGCGCTACGTCCGCTCTCTGCTTGTACTATGTGTATGAATGTGTGTTTCTGTTTGGACAATATGACCCATGCACACTTCTGAGTGCAGGCTTATGTTGCAGCGAGGTATTACCGGGTATTTGTAATTGTTGGGTATACGTGTTTTTTTTAACCCGTAATGATTTCTGATTACGTTTTTCTATCGTTACCACAGATGATCAATAATTTGCTGGTCATCATACAAAGAATAAATGCATATAAACTTCGATTTTGTTTGCTCGTTGTTGTTTGCTTGAATATTCAATGTATTTCGAGCCGCAGCAAACATTCATTCCACTGCATTGCTGTTGATTTATGTTTGGAATAATAATCGTGTATTGAAATAATGTCTTACTTTTCAAAGAAAGGATCTTGTTATAGACTTGATATCGTTGTCATTGATTGTAACAATTTGTTACCGTATACTTAGGAAGGATCTTGCTCTGCTGTTGTCTAA